TTCATAACTAATCGATTGAGCGATAGCTCGTAGACCACCTAAAAAGGAATATTTATTATTTGATCCATATCCTAACATGAGAAGTCCAATGAAAGCAATGCTTGAAATGGCAATCCATAAAAAGAAAATAATATTTAGATTCGTTAAAACAAAGTGATAGCCAAAATAAATTGCTAAATAGCTTAATAGAGTTGGTGTGGTTGCTATGGATGATCTGATACTAAATAAATCAGTACCTCCTCTTGATGGAAAAAGATTTTCTTTGAAAAGTAGTTTTGTTCCATTCACTTGAGCTTGAAGAACTTTAAAATGACCAATATATTCAGGTTCAATATGTTATTGTATCCCCTACAAAAACTTCTCTTTCTAACGATATAATTACTAACATACCTAACATGATTCCTAATACAACAGTAAAAATAGGGAGAAGCATTTATATAAATCTATAGACCTCATTTAAGGATTTCAATCTCGAAAAATAATTGATAGCTTGTATTATTGTTGTATCAATTATTATTTTAATGATTAACTTCCACTGTAATACTATTTATACTATCTAGTATTGTCATAATATCATCTAATTTTATTCTTTTAATTAATTGAGGAAGAATTTGTAAATTGATAAAACCCGGTGGGTGAATTTTTCATCTCCAAAGAAAACTACTTTGATCCCCTATTAGAAAAACTCTCAACTCTCCCTTTTGTGCTTCAACTCGAACATAAAGTTCTTGTTTCGGTAATTCAAAAGCAAGAGAAGTTTTTTACTAATAAATTGATATTCAAAATTGTTCCATTCTCGATTCCTTTCTTTATCAAAACTTCGGGTCTTTAAATTTTCATAAGGCCCCCTTGGAATCCCTTCCAAAGCCCAATGAACAAATTTTACAGATTTCATCATTTTACCAATTCGAACTAAATGACAAGCTAACAAATCCCCTTTTTTATGCCACTGGACTCTCCAATCAAATTCATCATAACACTCATAATGATTAACTTTACAAAGATCCCATTGTACTCTAAAAGCTCGTAGCATTGGTTCTGATAAACCTAAATTTATTGTTTTCTCTACACTAACAATACATATTCCTTCAACTCGTTCTAAAAAAATAGGATTTTGTGTAATAAGTTTTTGATATTCAACAAATCTTTTTAAAAAATAATCACAGAAATCCAAACATTTATCTAATCAGTCAAGAGGTAGATCAGTTGGTACTTCTTCGATACGAAAATAATTATGCATCATTCTCATACTAGTACTAACTTCAAATAAATCATATATTAACCTTTCCCTAGAAATATAGAAGAAAAGGGTCTGCCCGCCAATATCTGCCATAAAAAGATCAAGCCATAAGTGATGAGCACCTATTTGACTGAACTTTATCATAATTGCTCTGATATAGCTAGCTCTTTTAGGTACTTGAATATTTCTCAACTATTCTGATCCATTTCTTATTATCACTTCTGTAATATATATGACAAATAATCTTTACCGAATCTCATATACTAGATTGGATATGTTATGGGATATATCTATGACAAATAAATTTTTACCAAATTTTTAATCGTGGACATATATGTATCCTTATGAAGTTTATTTTTACTTCTATCAAAATGTTTGTTTTTATCTATGATGTGAGTGTGGTTTATTATGTTATTATTATTGATAATTTCTATATTTATAGCATTTTTATTTTTTGAATTCAAAAAAATTAGAATTCTCAATTCTCTATGATATTTAGAGGATAAAAGATTTTTGAGAACAAGTAAATCATAATTATTTTTATCTTTATTTCTAGTTAAACTTTGAATTATTACAATAAATTCCATAAAATTCTTTTTATCAATATAATTTTTTCTGTATCATTGATTAATTTGTTATTCTTTTTCTAAAAAACAATAAAATATTTATGGTTTGATATATAATAAATTCTTCATCATGTTTTACTGACAGATGGATTGATTCAATAATTAATATTCTCTTTTTTCATGAATTCTGTAAAAGTTAAATCTTTTCAAATCATTAGAATATCTAGACTCGGCTTTCTCTTTTGAATAGAGAATATAATAATTTCTTATGGATTTGTTAATCTAAGATGGAGATAAAATATTTTAATATTATTGATTATTTTTTTATTTAAAGAATCTTCTCATCTTAATTGAAAGCATAAATACCCCTTTAGCAAGAAATCAAGTTTCGTTTCCGTAGTACTTTCGTTATGTTTTTTCTTTATATACTCTTTCATGTGTGATCTTGCATGACCTTCTTTAACATCTTTTCTTGATTTGGTAGAACTGATTCAAGATCTATTTGATCTTCAAATTCTTTTTCTTCATGATTTTGATTTTTTAATTGAATGAATTTTGTTTTATTCAATAATATAGATATATAAGGATCGTTTATTTTTTTGTTGATTTTTTTTATTTTCAGCAACATTTTTAGTTCCATTAATTTTTTTTTAAAAAATAATTTGATTGGCATTGTCCATGATTTTATCTTGTATGTTTTCCAAAGTATCAAAAATTTTTTTTATTTTCAGCAACATTTTTAGTTCCATTAATTTTTTTTTAAAAAATAATTTGATTGGCATTGTCCATGATTTTATCTTGTATGTTTTCCAAAGTATCAAAAATTTTAAAAAAAAATCAAAATTTGAAATTTGATTCGGGACAATCTAGTATTTTTATTCATTCATTTCCCTCTAATCAAAATTTTTTTTTTTGTTTAGTTTTGTTATTGATTGAGGATTTAATATTGACTTTTTTTTTCTAAGATTAAAATAGAGATCTCCCATCCAAATATTTTCTATACTTGGTCAAACCGGTTGATTTGTACTATTTAGTTTTAAAAATGTGCAGAATTCTTCACCAATAGTGCAGCTTGATTTGTACTATTTGGAATATTGATTTTTCCAGCCAAAAATACTAGGTTCGGACGATATTCTGTTTATGAAGATCTATCTTGCTATCGTTCTCATTTGCATCTAATCTGATGACTCTGCCTAAAATAACGTGTCAGCTCCGAACTTCCAACCCCTCTCTTAAATGCATACTTTTCTACCGACACATCGCAAGAAAATTTCTTCTTCTTTTCAATGTCTCGAAACTCTTCTACCCTCTTCACCCTCATCTGCCCTTCACTCCCATCAACCCACCCGATCCTCTCCTGCTCCCACTAGATTAATTTAACTTGAACTCAGTTTCAGTTGCTCTATAGACACCCTAACATTTTCTTCTTAACTAAGCACTCGAGAGGGATTCCATCTGTAGCTACAGATTGGGTGAAAAAGTCACCTGAGCATTGACGTTGAATCTCAAATTGCCGGTATAGACTCCGAGAGTAAAAAGGTTTCGGGTCTGCTTTATTAGTAAACTTGAAGATGAAATCTGATACTGAAATTAAAAAATATATATAATTTTATAAATTATTTTAAATAAAATAAATAATAAAAATAATAATAAAATAAAAATGAAATTTATTAGATAAAAAATCTCAATTTGAAAAATAAAAAATTAAAATTAAAATTAATATAGAAATCAGATTAAATCAGATTCTAAAAAATAAAATAAAAATAAAATATATAACAATTAAAAATCTAAAAATTAAATTTGATATAATTAATAAATAATATAATATTTTTAAATTTTTTATAATTTTTAAAAAGTATTTTTCATCCAGAAAACACCTTTCTAAAAATAAAACTAAACTTTTTATAAATAAAAAATATTTTTTATTAACCAACTCTTTCAATAATAAACAAATGCAACAGAAAAAACCGGCCTTAAATACAGGATGTCTAATTCCTAGGAAGCTTCGTAACATGTCTGGCAAATTCCTTTTTGTTTTTGTGAGGTATGGACTGTTGAGTGTCCCTTTCTTGTTAAAGTTGTCAGGTACCGAAATACTTATAATTTGTGAACGTATAAAGAATTAAAATGTAATTTTTATATATCAGGACCAAACTGAAGTTTTATAATCTTCAACCTTGAAACTACTTTCTCCAGAATTTCTAGGAAAGATCGTTCCAAATTTCTTAGCCATTATTGCACATAACACATCAATTAAACAAATCAATGTCAAGTTATTGTCCCTAACAAAATCATTCAAAATCAATGAATTTTAACATTAATAAGTTAAAAAAAAGAACATAATAAGCAACAAAAACAAAAATCATGTTTGTCAAATTACGATCTCACCTCAAAAACGTAATTTCGCCGTCACTCATGATCCTTTTCCTTCTTTCCCTTCTTCCTCTCTTTCTTTCGGTTCCATCTCTTCTCAGTTTCTGGTTTCTTCTTTTTTCTTCTATTTTTTTTTATCTCTTTCAATATATCAATCCATGTGAAACGACTTACCTGTCCCCAACCATTAATAAACAGGTCCCTCGTTAACTTACATAAATGATTAAACTTTTCAGTCACGAAGATTCGTGAGATTTTCATTAACATTCGAGGACATGATGGAGCTCATCAATTTCTGGATATCAAGTAGCTCAAAAATTCAATTCGGGGTCAGAAAAGGTACAACGGGTTAACAAAAAAACTACATGAACCAATCAAAACTTTTAAGAAGCATAAAAGACTGTTCAATCATTCTCAAATTGGCCTCGTATTCCGACATCTATCATGTATGTATCGAGAGAGACAGAAGAGTTAGTATTGTCAATTAAACCTATTATGAGGTTTGATGCAAGCTTTGTGTCTGTCAAGAGCTTACTGACAATTGATTCATTCCTTGAAACGATAATTCTCAATTCTCTCTGAAGGATCTACTCCGTTTCCTCTTCCTTCCTACCCTTTTCCTGCCGAAATCATGTTTTTGTTATTAGGCATGGGATGATTTGTCCTAAACTACTCTTCAAAATGGTACGGGGATTAGTTCAAATTGCTTGGTATTTACCATTGAATCTACTTCTTTGTCCTTTGTTCTGGCAATATGATATGGAAGATAGATCCAACAAGTGATCCCAGAAAAGAAAATCCGGGTCAAGTGAACAAGAATGAATCAAATAAAAGAGATGATAACTGGAATTAAACAAGTATGATTCCTCTTTCACTCACCTACACATCTTTCTCGCTGAAATAGTACAGACTGTAACATGCAAAATTGGAAATACTGAAAAGAAATAATAGAATAAACAGTACTCATATCATTCCCATTTGCTCCTAATTTGATGAGTGTGCTTGAAGTCATGAGTTAGCACCAAGCTTCCGTCCATTCTCCTCAATACAAATCTCTCAACCAACACGTAACATCCAAGTTTCTTCCAGCCACCAATCCCTCCGAACTCCTCCACTCTCTTCACCGTAACATAACTCTCATTACCACCGGGCCATCCAGCTCTCTCTTGCTCCCACTTCATTCTTTCCACAATTTCCAAACTCAAGCCCACACTTGCTTCTCCTCCAACATTGCTAGAACTCCTAAACCACATGATCCCGTCAACCACATTCCTTTCGTCAGGCGCCACTTCTCTACCAGCAACAGCAATCACTTCTCTTTGAACAACAGCATCCACAATTACAGAGTTGCCTTCACTAAGACTATTTTCATACGCAAAAATTTGTTCCCATCTCTGCTCCAGTGTCATCTCATAATACCTAGAAGCAATAAACTGATCCTTCAGTTTTCCTTCTTTGATAAACATGAAAGGACAGTACCACTTTCCTACAACAACCGACGCAGAGCTTCGTTGTGATAATGGGAAATGGAAATCTGGAAGGCGGTCACGGAGATTTCTATCAAGACCTCGCGCTTCATTCAACTCAAAATCACTTTCAGTTGAGGTTACCACTCTCCAACCTTTTCTCCTTAAGAATCCTGGAGGGAAGCCATCTGGAGCTACCGATTTAGCTACATAACCACCCCAGCCTCTCTTGCGAATCTCAAATTGCTGGCGTGCGTCCTTTGGATCGAAAGGCTCTGGTTCCATATCGGGGATACAGCAGCCGAAACAGCATGCTGCAACGATATATATATAGAAACTGCAGTTTGTGACGACTATAAACGTACCCTTTATGCCTCCCGCGACGCTCAATTACATGGTATTGGTTGGAAGACAGTGGCTGATTAAGAACAGGAACGAAGATAACACGGTTAGTATAAGTAACTGTGTGTGTGCTGCCTGCAGCACCTCCACTTGTGGTATAGCGAACTTTTAGATTCTTGTTCTGAGGGAAAGGCAGGTCTTCAACTTGATCGCTCGTGAACAAGCCAAAACAACAGGTGGGTTCGGCTTCTTCATCTTGAATTATCAATATACCAGAATTTGGACCTTCAGGAGGAGGTAACGAAAGAGCTGAAGGATTTCTTTTGTACATGGAAAGAGGCCTAGTCACGTACATTTTTGGAATGGTTTGGAATATTTCTTAGAGCATTATTTATCCCATTGTCTCAATCTTCTCGCGAATATATAGAGAGATATGGGAAATATTACTCTGAAAAGTCAATAGCGTAGGCAATTTAGACAAGTAAGAAGAATCCTACAAGAGGAAAAGTAGATAAAGGTTCTACTAATCCAGGACCGCACATTTTGTGGTCCTCGACGCATGAAATCCATGTAAGTTCCATGCTGATGCTAGAATCTTGGCATTATCAAGAATAATTTTGGACTATTAACCATTGGCTTAATCCATAGCCCCTTATATGATGTGCAACAAAAAATAATGAAAGAGAAAGAAAATAAAGAAAGAGGCTATAAAAATAGTTAAATTGCAGTTACAGTATAATGGACGAACCCTCGGTGCTTCCTCCCATGTCGCTGGATGAAATGGTATTTATTGGAAGAGGGTGGCTGGTTAGAAACGGTAATGAAAAGGACATGGTTTTTAGATGTTGTTTGAGGTTCTGAATTTCCTGTCACGTTATGCATTTCTTGGTCAGGTCCCTTGTAATAAAAAAAAAACTTAAAATTAGGAAAACTACATGGCAAGTCTATGTGCTGGATAGCCTGTGCGAATCGAAATTAGATTTTCATCGTTATAAAATGGGATTTACACCCTATGATATATGGCCATCAGTGTTATGAAAGATAAAGTCAAACTAGAAATCACATGGAAAGCATACTTAGCTTCCGTCCACTTTATCTACTTGGACGCCAACATGGCTCAGAAACCCAAGAGTTGCTTTAGAAGATATCTCGAGCAGCCGCGTGAGTATTTCGTGCAGCAAATAATGGGATCTTCTCATGTTTAATTATGTTAATCTAAACTGTAAAATTCAAGACAGATGAAATCGATTTACAACAGGTTAAATATATAATCAATTTTTTATTCTGTCATCAAATTAATCCAATTCATTAAATTCAAAATAAATAGTAAGATATGCAACTTTACTTTAAAATAATAAATTTTAAGTTTTCGTATTATTTTATTATGCTAGTATTAAAAATAATTTTTAAAATAAAAAAAAAGATTATTTTGAATCGTTACCTGCATCAAAAATATAAAAAGACAATTAATTATATAAAGTAACTGAATGATAATTTCAAGATTACCATTTAATCTTACTTGTCAATCATGTCTCTTCAAGTTTATTTTTAAGTGATATCATAAAAACTCTGTCCGTCTCAATGTCATTAAGCATTTGAATTGGATTCAATTTCCTTGCAAAGTAAAGACTAATGCCTTGTTTGTTTGAAGGAAACTAAATTCTTGAAATTTATTTTTTTATGTTTTAGTATTTGATAATCATCTAGAAAGTTAGTTAAAGAAAGGTTATTTCCAGTAAAAAAAAACAACTAACTTTTATAACAGGGAAGTATTTTTCTTTTTTTTTAAAAAGAAAATACTTTCCTATGCCATTAACTTATACATGTTTGTAGAAGTTGGGTGAGAAGAGAACTAACTTGTTTGGAAGAATTGAGGTTTTCTAACCTCAAAAGTTTGTCATAGATCTCACAAGCCTTTTCTATCAACAGCTCTTCCTGGCAACCCATGAGAACATTTTAGGGGAGAGTTTTTGAACAAAAGCTAGCTACAACCCTAGTAAAGCCAAGAGACAGTATTCTTCAAACCTCCAAGGAGGGGTTTTAACTATAAAGATTGAAACAAGTGCCTCTCACCAGGCTGTGCATCTCCATTATAGCAATGGCCATTCATAACCTAGCATGTTCAGGGAAAACGGATTCATAAAAAAAAACTCTATCCAAAAAACTTATTAAAATATTTTTGTATTTATTTATTTATTAAAAAAAAATTAAAATCTTCATATAGAAAAAAACCCAAAAATCTAACTTACTATAAACTAATCTGGCTTTTTTCACATGAAAAAAAAAAAACTTATTTTAAACTTTTAAAATTAAAAAAAATATTAATAGGTTTTAATTAAGAAATATTTTCCAATGTTATTTCTTTATAATATGATATGATATATATAGTTATATTTTATAAAATAAGTTATATATGAATATAGAATATAATAAAAAAATTCATCATTATACTTTTTAGATTTTATTCTTTTATTGTAAGTGATTAAATATTATATTAAATATTTTTTATATATTAGAGAAACTTGAAAAAATTTGATTTATTAATAAATTATTTTCCATAACATTATCAAATAATGAAAAGTATTTTTCAGTTCATTTTTCACAACACTATCAAATATTGAAAAATAATTATTTTTAAAAAAATTATTTTTTAAAAAAAAAATAACTTTTTTTTGTAAACAAACAGAATTTAAAAATAACTAAGAGAAAAGGACACAGTGGATTACGCTTATTTTCTTCGTGGAGGAGGTCAGGACTCAAGAGACGGAGGCGGATCATGCTTGCTTCTTTTTTCTGTGGAGGAGGTCAGGACTCGGGATGGAGGCTTGAAAATAAACGGTCGCCACTCTCCAGGTGGCTTTGCATACGGTGGACTTTATTGTTTAATGAATTTTAAAATATAGTAATTATTGTTTTTTAAAATATTTTTTAAATTTTAAAAAATTAGTTTTAGTATTAATACATCAAAACCACATGAAAATATAAAAAATATATTAATTTTTTTAAAAATAAAAGCATCTCAAAATTTGTCCCGGAGAGACAGTGGTACAATGGTGGAGAGAAAATAATATTGCTCTTCGGAAGTCATTCTCTTTTCCTTTTTTTTTTTTTCTTATCAATTTCAAACAAGTTCTTGATTTTTTATAGTAGAGAGTTTGGAACATCTTTTTAATATTTTATCAGCTTTTAAAAAAATCAAAGAGTTGGAAAACACGTGTTAATTTCCAAGCAGATAGTTTTTATTTTCAAATGGCAAGTGAGTTTTTTATTTTCATGAAATAAAATTCTGAAAAATTGAAAAAAATTGAACGGGTAGATTAAAAAAAAAAATCCTACATGCATTTGGAAATTGACAGGATATATACACATGAAAGTTAAGTACTTGTTATTGGTTGGATAAGTTCGTTATGGATTTGGTTCATTAAACAAGTTGATGATTGTTAAACTTGATTCGTCCCCGTAAATTTACTTCACAACTTCAATCCTGGAAAATGAGTTGTATTTCAAACTAAATCCCTCTCGTATTCAATTAAAATATCCCGGCCAGCTTAGTGTAACTCAATTCAAAGATTCAACTGGGTTGGATGTAAAATATAAAACATAAATTAAAAAAATTAAAATCACGTTATTTAACTCTCTATCTTTATTTTATTTTTTTTAAAGTGGGTTTACTGGGGACGACTTTTAGTGAGTTAGATTTGAAATTGATTTGTCAGTTGTAAATGCCAAAACGATGGAATACGTTATAACAAGTTAAAAAATATTTTTATTATTTTGTAAAAAAAAATATTTTTTATATTAATATATTAAGATGATTAAAAAATAATTTAAAATAAAATAATTCAAATCTTAACAAAAATAATAATGAAACTCAAGGTAAAACACTCTCTAAATATACGTTTGTTATTATATTTCAAAA